GGTGCACACTAAGAGCGCTGCCATTCATATCCGTCGCTCGGCAACAATATTGCCAAATTGAAGTGGATGGTGAGACAGTTTTCTCCTGTCCAATTTTGTAATTGTGACGAGGCGACGTCGCATCTCAGCCACCGGAAGGCACGAATTGAATTGGCGACAGGGAAGTTGCTGGGCAAAATTGTTTTCGATGTGTTAATTGCAAGGCCGCAGGAGATGGGCTCTAGCTCTGGAGCGTCATATGAAAATTGTGGAACCCGAGGGCGAGGGTATTTAGGAATACTACTGGGAATCTGTGGGTGAAAAGGGTGGGTCGCCATTAAGAAGATATTTCGAAGTCTATTACAGAAACCCATTTATTCATCTGCCACAATGAGAGCTTACAGTCCGCAATTGAGGCTCACAAGATTGTTGCTGATGAGTAATTTCAATTGTGTGGAAGGGGATAAGCGTATTATATCGCAGGAACGACATAGACAATTTTGACCTCATCTCAGTATATCACTCGAATGTGCCGCATTTTCGCTTATTGCTCAACATTACGAGGCTATATATTTGGCATTCCACGAACACTGCGTCCTATTAACCGACGTCTTACTTAAGACGAGCGCACTTTTAAAGTCAATTTCCTAGGAAAAGGACAATTGATATATGGTAGAAATGAGTGGCAGAGGGAAATTCAATGAAAACACTCTTCATTTCCACCAGAGAACGCACCAATATGATGATACAAGAAAGTTTTCATTGAAAACACCCTCCGTTTTGAATTAATTCACCTGAAGGGTATTTAAACTTTTGCGGAATACAATTCTGCCCTCACTTAATTTATTACACAGTGGAAAAATATGAACGGAGAAGCTGATAATAAAAGAATTATATCTTTGTACAAGTATTGCATAATGAATTCAAGAAAAATGCTTAATATTTCTGGTACAAAATATAGAATATGATTATATATAATGACCTAATTTAATGAAAAATGCATGAATTTACGACCCTTCCAAGGCAGATTTGAAGAGAGCGTTTAATGTTGAGGAGAAATTCAACTTTTTTTCTCGTTTGGAGTAAATTAAAATTGTAATGAGAGTAAATTAGATCCTTTCTGACTCTATAGGAATGAGTTTTGAAACTGCGAACTTTTGCTTGAATACATGTGAAAAGGTGGGCAGTTGGGAATGCAATTAATTGTAAAAGCTTTGCTATATATGCGGTTTTTTCTCTGCTAAAATTCTGCCTTTGGCAATAAATTTTTCACATACATCATAAATTGAATATTGCTGAACTTTGAAGTTTTCAATAATTAAGCAGTTGATTTTGGAAATAATAAAAAAATATTTTCCAATGCTCTATATTGAATTTTCAATTCGATCCTCTTGATTGTCAGTACGATTGAAAATTTCATAATTAAAAGGATTAAAAAGGAAAAATTTATTGTTTCAATTACGGACAAATATTTGGATTAATTTGCCTTTCGCTGCATAATTACTAACACAAATAATCACGGAAATAATTTGAAATGTTATTCATCCAATTTACTCGTTTTGATTGACCAATTAACACCTAAAGCCATATTGTATGGTTTCTAGAAATTTCCGTTTGATATCGATATTCAAAGTATCTCGTGATCAATCAATGACTTTTCACCATTGATTGGCAATCTTCAATATGTGCTGCAGAACATTGTGTTTGCTTTGCTGCGAGCTTAGTTGGCTCAATGTGAAGTGAGATAAATTGCTGTTCACCGTAAATTCCTTTCAATGGATGCCTTATCAGTTGAAAATTAGAAACTTAATCTCACATTGTTAGTGCGAAACTCGATGGCTTCAGTGCGGCAAATGAATGGGGATAAACATGGTCAAAACGTCTGTTATAATTTATTGGAACTCTGCACAATGGAAAAGTCCTACAACGGTTAAATACGGAAAAGAGGTGGAAGTTTTACACCTAAATTGTTACACGATTTTATAAAAAGAATTCATATGGAAACTTTGTTGCCGGGATTGGCAAAATTCACTGTATTCACAATATAGTAGTTGAGAGTTAAGCTTTATAGTGCTTAGAATGAATACAGAGATGTTTAGAAACCTTTAACTTTACGGTTTCTAGTTCTTACAGGTTTGTATACTGAACTGAAGCAAAAGTACAATTAAAAGCAAGATAGAATCAAATAATTATCTTTTGAAAGCTTGTGTGCATAACAAAGTAATAAAAATCAAATTTTTAGAACAAAAATTAAAGTTTTTTATTTGGTTTATATATTGACTTAATAATTCCTAATGATTTTTAGGAGACTTAAATTCTTTCGTTTTTCATATAATGCAATGAAAAGCTTTCCGTTTATTATGCAAAGTTCTCTGGAATATAATGCTCTTCGAGGATAAAGCTTGCATTTAAAGCTTACTGAGAAAGTGTTGCGAGATGATTCAGAATTAACTGACTTTGCTCGCAATGAGGAGGCATTTAAGAGAGAGTTGGCGCCAAAGTTCAGATTTCAATCCCCTGAGAGTGAAACTGACACACAGAGCTTTAATGTACACAAATGGAGATAATTTGATGCTCATGTACCCGAATGTGGGGTTGGAATAGTGCCCTTGGCTGGGACCCGAGCGAAGGAAGATACATTATTTAGATGGTACATTTATGTTGGGACCGTATTTAGGAGTCAAAAGTCAAATTTATGCGTGCAAACAATAGTGTGGCAGCACAGCAACAGTTTCTTGCCTTCCTTTTTTTCTAGCACAACAACCTCAAGCAAAGTGTCTTCCTCTCTTTCTTGACTGCAGGCGCACGAGACTTAAAAGTTCGCCCATAAATCAGGGGCGATATTTGAAAGTTTTCGCACTATTTTCCCTGAGTGAGTTTACTTTTCTGGCCAAATATTTTATTAAGTTACCAACTTCTGCTCAAACCCTTCTCTCCACATATGTAGTGTAGTGTGTAGTTGGGTTTTGTTAGCATATGCATCAGTTCATCAGCTACAGTGGTGCGCGATATTGTTACTTCGAACGCAGTGGGTGATTTTACACAAATTCGCGCGTGCAGTTTTCGAACGCCACTGTACAGTTTGAGCGTAAATGCTTTGCTGTAGTGGCTTGTGTGCGGTTGGATGTGGATGAGATGGGTGCCACTGGGAGTGATCTTTATTAAATTTGATGGTTCCGAGAGTTGACCTTCTAAAGGGTTGCTCGTGGTTGCGGAAAGTGCCTCTTCTTCAGTGTGAAGCCAAGTGAAGGCGCTGTCCTATGAAACGGAAATATCAACTAAATTGTATGTAATTTTGAGGCGTTTCAAATTGTCCTCCGAGACAGTTCTTCTTGCGCCACAATCCCTGAGTGGGATTTCGTGGTCTCTATATGGCCCCGGATAAAAGTGCTATGAATAACAAATTGGGAGTGACAATAATTTCGCCGTGGAAATAAATAGGACACGTCACCAATATGATTATGTTGAATAATGCAGAGGGATTTTCGAGATTGTACTCGATGCTTTAATACATTTGAGTATATTCTTTCCTTTTTTTCTGCACCCTTTTCTCTTTTGTAATGTAAAATCCATGTTGGAAGAGTGAAATTTTGCGTTAACACGACACGACCGGGTGAAATGGGTGGATTGTGCTGAAGGTGGGTCGTGAAAAGGGGTAAAGTCTACTCAAAAGTTGACACAAAGGCTCTAGGGGAGCTATTTAGTTGGTCTAAAAAAGCTCAAAGTGCTTGTATGGGCGCCATTGACAGTAAATCTGCTGGCGAGGAAGCTTTGCAGGAAAAGCCCTGCAAGTTTCACGTAATTTTTGCGTATCTCTCGATGCAAAGCGGAAAAAAGCTAAATTCAGTTCGATGCAAATTAAAAATCATTTGTTCTGGTAAAACTATTTTACATTTTACGTGTTTTTTGCAATGCCATAAAACTCGGTTTTCATTTAAGTTGGGCAAATAAAATGCCGTCATGCCTTCAATTGGTATTCGTATTCGCTGGCGGAATTCGCTGAAAAATTAATCACCATACAATTTACGCTAGCAACACGGAGAATTGTCCAGTGAATTTTGTAACAAATTAATTGTCATTTTACTCCTCCTCATGCTATACATGTGAATTGCAAATGTATAATTCAACTTTCAACCTGGTAAATATTTGAATATGTGGGAAGTTCCGTATAGTTTTACTTGCTCTTAAGACACTTAAACTATGTGAGATTTTGAAGAGGTTCAGCTTTAGAATGGAATTCAATCTCAACAGTTCGAAAATGGAATGCTTCAGGGCAACACAACACTGGAACTTGCAGAATTGCTCCATATTGCAAGATTGCAGAATGCAGAGGATTGCAGTGAATGTGAATACATTGTGAAAAGGACATAATTGTATTTATTACAATGTGTTGTTGGCCAGTATTTATACTACAACGTTTTCATCTACTTCTGTGTTTGAATGAAGAGTAGAAGCTTTTGATTAGTTAGATAATCTCTGGGAGATCCAAAAATCACTCTGTGTATCATTGATGTTATGAAAGTGAAGCTTTCTATCCTCGTTCCATCTCACAACATAAAGGCATGAATGAAATGTATTTAGAAGCCTTGTGAAATTGAAGCGTGATTCTGTCGACATACAGTGACTGCCGATGAAATAAAGCACATCAATTCGTGGTTATTTGTTTGAGACTGTATTAATGCTAAATCGAAGAGGACGTTTAACCAGGAATTAATATTCTTTAGTAACTCGTCAAAAAATATTATAAAATCACCGTGTTTTTTTTTCATTGACAGTAACTGTATTTAAAGTTATATAAAGTTATATAGAACTGAAATCATAAATCAAAACGCTGTTTATTTCCAGGACAGTTCACTGACATATCGCTCGAATGTTAATCAGCGTGTGCTTGTTATTTGGTACACTTGTTTGCGATGCTATTTTCACGCAATGCTCTCTCTCAATGTAGAATTTTTATGTGCAAATTAACATTTTCATCGGGGGGTGTGATTGTGGGCGGCATTAATATTGCACAGACTTACCAGCTTTAACATTGACGTCAGCGGAGACTATTGAGCCGACGGCATTGGAAGCGATGCATTTGTAGTTGGTCCAGTGGACATCCTGTCGAAATGCCTCGGCCTCGAAGGGTGGGAAGTAGAGCGATCCGTTGGCCAGAATGTGCCTGACCTGCAAAATATGTTGGGCGTTGAGCGTGTCGTGTGACAGCGCGCGGGGGTGTCGTGCAAATTAGCTGTCACGAGCACTTATGACGCATTTGCATGGCTGTACCTTTGGTATCGTTGTGACTAGGTTGCCGTCCTGGTCCAGCCACTCCACGTTCGGCGATGGATTTCCGCTGGCCGTGCAATCGAGGCGACTTCCAGCGCGATTCATGAACTCCAGTCGATGGTTGGGCTCAATCATGAAGCGGGGCCCCTGATTATCATGTAAATTGTTCGCCAGGACGCCCGCTGCAGCTGCACTCGCCGTCCAATCAATGAAAGGATGGAAAATTAATTATTATTTTTATCCCGCTCTCAGTGTGTGTTTGCTTTTTATCACCACAATTTCCACCCTCGGCGGACCTAAAAAATGCAATATGATGAAATTTGTAACTATGTACGAATTTCCGCCATGAGTTTTTCCTTCCGTGCACATGGGGGATGTTTTCAGCGAATGAAATTCCTTTGTGCCAGTGTCGAAAATGTAACTGGGTTACGTAAATGAACATTGCACAGATATCATATTATTATATTATAACGCATTAACGATTTAATTGGATACAGTTCGCTCTAACAACACTGTTCCGGTGTGCAATTTTCCGACATGGGCGTTTGGCTGGATTTGATTTATTCATTTCCTCCTGCTTCACATATGCCAACGATCATCTGGCGCACACACTACAAATATCATGCCATATATTTTCTCCCAAGTGATTAATACCAATTAATTTTCCTTACTCTGCGCCATAGTGCTGGAAAATATGAAACGATAAATGCTGGCTATTGTATCCCCACCGAATTTATCATGAATTTCATTACAATTAATTTCATTTCACGGACATTGAACGTTTTCCTGTAATTAGATCCAAATACAAAAAGGATGGGATTGGGTTTTTAATCACTTTGCTCTGCAATTAGAGGTGCGCGCGGGCTTGAAATAAAACTCCTTTAATTGCATCGTACCAGATTTCCAGCATCCCTGCAATATTCCGCTGTGCACAAGGTGTGGAATTTCATACTTGAGCGAAGCCATAATTGCGAAATAATGATTGAACGGTGTATATTTAAATTTATAGTCAAACCAGCGCCACTAATAGCTGGGTGCCAAAACAAAATCTCGTCGGTGGTGAATTTAAATTGGTTGTTGGCTGTTTCATCGCAATTGCAAAGTTTTAATGGGTCCTCCACACAAATTAAATGTAGCGCGTTCAGTGCCATCCTTATCTGCCTCGCACTCTCTTGAAGTGTGCCAGAAACAGCAGCATCAGTGAAACATTTGCAGACGCCCCAAACCATCATCGCCTCATTGCTGATGATACACTCTCTCGCCGTGGCTCCGGATCGTTTGCACGTAAATAAGGTTTTGTATAGCGCTAAATGACTTTTGTAACTATGCGATAATGACGGTGTATGTCAAAATATTTGTCAGGAAATAACATTGAAGGAGTGACTGAGAGGTGTTGATGAGCATCATCGACGCTTGGCGCGGCAGAAATTTTCATTTTCAACGCGACGCTGTCCAGTACTTCTATCTTGATGTTACGACCACAGTTTTTGATGGACAAAGAATCATCAGCGTTGTGGGAAAATTTTATGTGCGATGTTGACGCTATGCATGATAGAATTCAGCCATCCTTTCACTGATTTCGTTCAGGGCCAGCGAGACGAAACTTCAACTTGATGCGAAGGAAGAAAGATTAGGTATGAAGTATGGTAATTGACTAACGAGATTACTCATGAAATAGGAATCAGACAATGGTTTGAGTTCGTCGACTTCTCAGTGTAAGAATTGCTAACGCTTTGGACCCGTAAAATCATCTTGCCAGGAAATACTTTCAAGATTTCAGAAATAAATCGGAATTTTTCAAAAGTAAACGATGAAAAACACATAGTTTATTATTCAAAGCAAATAATTCAGACTATCAAGAACAAAAAACCGGGGTTTTATCACTGTGTTAGCAAACAAAGTGATGATCTTAACAACAATATAGTGAAGAGAATTGTACGCTCCATGAATTCAGTGTGAAAATGATTTTCCAGCTTGACGAATAAAGGTGAAAGAGTTGACGCCTTCAAGTATAAAAAGTACACCGGCGAGAGTCATAAAGGAAGTTTCATTTCTCTAAAATTAAACTCTGGACCGTCAATTGCAAGTATATAAAGTCTGTGTATGAAAGACAGCATTTCTTGTAAGTACTTTGAACAACAAAAATAACTTTAGCAACAATGGGAAATGTAAGTAATCCTGTCAAAGAGCCTGTCTTATTTTTGGAACGCCGAGTGAATAAAAATGCGCTGCTCTTGTGGATCTCTTCTGCTTCAATTATGTTAAGTAGTCATAAAGCAAATCCTTTCCAGTAAGACATACACAAAAACATATTTACAATGTGAATTTCATGGAAATTTCACAAAATTTCCACTCCACACAATAACTCTCTTTATTAGATAACATATTTGTGCATGTTTGCCGGATGGATGATGCAGATAAAATGCTGGCAAAATAATGTGGTCCATCGTTGCATATTTCTATACAATGGCGCGATGTTGGACCTCTTTCCATTACACACCCCAAAATACGCTCTCGAGCAAGTCCGTGGGCAATTTCGGGTTGTTTTTTGGGGTGTGACTATGGTGAAATTTAGCATAAAATTCCTTCCTATAAATTTCATCCGCCGCCACTCCATTTACTGAATAATGCTATGCAATTAAATGTTTTTGTGTGGGAAATATTTTTCTTGGGAACGCCACAGAATTCTTCTCGCCAGACAGAATGACTTGAGCTGGGCATTCTCGCCGAGACAATAAATATCGTATAACATGCATGAGCTTCCACCAGCGCGCCCTCCTTGGCAAATTTATATTTGGCCCAGAATTTCGGAAAAAGAGACGCAACAATGCAGAAGTGAGATGTGGTGGGTTGAGTTGCATCAACTCAATAAATTCTCATGTGCATCCCGCATGCACATGCTCTTGCGGAGCGACCGAGGGCGGAGGGGCAGGGTTCTGGGTGCGCGAGAATTGCTGAGATCGAAAATTGAGTTGAAGCGTGGTGTGAGAAGAACCCCCGGGGGTTCAATGTGTTTCAATCTTGTACACATCCTCGTTTTTATGCACTCCACACCTCCTCAAGCGCCCCGTGAGCGCCACCCTTGTGTGCCACCCTTGTGCGGGGGGAACAATGAAATTAGATGGCACACACATGGGTCGATTCTACCAATTTATTTTTTAGCCGTAAATTTCTGAGAATCCTCCGCAGGAGAGGAAGAAAAAATATGCTCTCAAACAAATCACAAACACTGAATGTGGAGCATTTCCATGCGAGGAAAAAGAGCGACGAGAAGTGCTGGTATTCCAGCAATTTTGATTGTGACAACGACGTCTCACATTCAGATGAAGGCGGGAATGAAATTCATCTCACAGCCAGAAGGTGATATGACGAGTAGAGGCGAGAAAAAAAATTCATTTACACAAAGAGGGCGAAAATATTTTGATTTAAACGCTTTATAATTGGGCATAGACTTTCGCATTCCACCTACGATACTCGGGGCGCAACGTAAGAACAAAGAAAAAGTGCGCCTCTTGTTGCTCGAACTCGTGCTGTATATTTTTGGGTGTTGCTTGAGATGAAAATCAGAGAAATTCCTTGATTATATCCTTCGGTTTTGACTGTCAAGTTTTCCTAAATCTGCATAAATTCAGAATTCGTGGGGAATTTACATAATTTGGAAGCCAGAAGCGAAGGTGGTCATTTGAATAATTTACTGATATTTGTGGCAGAAACTATGCGGAAAGAGAAAGGGGTGAATTTTGATAAGGATTAATAATATAGAGCCACTTTAAGTATGAGTAAGAAAATCAAGAAGGGCTGATTTTGGAATAGAAGTGAACTCTTATTAGTGTCACATGGATGAAATGCGATTTTAGCTTTGAATCTCGGTGATTTTATATCAAAACACATGACAAACAAGAGTATTTTCTGCGATTTACTCAATAAATCAGATTTGAATTCAAGTTTCTATAGCAAAATGAGGCTGTTTATCTATCTCTTGAGTGAATGTTTGTTTGACTCACTGAAGAACATCCAGAGCCGAAGAGAAGACTTAAGTGCGATCAATTGTAATTTTGAGTGACATAGGCAGAAAGCGTTTGCTTGCTAGAATAATGTTCAATCGAAGGAAGTCTGTCAAGGTGTAAGTTTAATTTGCTTCTGTGCGAAGGAATGAAAGTAACAGAATCTCAGGCACTTTGCAAAGTCACATTAGCTTGGTCAATTTTTTGCCTGAATGTTTGGCTCTTTAGATACATTTTTTCGGGGGTTCTTTGTTAGAAAATATGGTATTTATGTATTGAAGGTGTAATGTTATACGTGTATTCGAGCCCTGGGAGAGTGCGTCACAACAGTATAAAGTTTAAATTATGTGCCTCTTGGGGTGGAAAAAAGGGAGAACATAGAGTCTTCATATTCGTGCCCATTTGCCGTTGCCATTGATGGTCTCTGGTACTTTCCTCCCCAAACAGGGCAGAGGCGGTTTTGTTTATCCAGTCAACCTACATCATTATTTCGCTATATAAGTTGAACAGGCACTCACACTCCCCGCGCTGTCTCACCGGTTTCATGCCGTTCTTGCCATTATATTCCATGCTGTATAGTAGTCCCAATCCCGTCGTAAATATGCGCCCCATAGAGTATTATTCGGAAAAACGCTCGCTCTCTAGCACAGGCTCAAAAGGAGAGCCGCACACAGCAAAAACGTCCATCCACCAATACCAGGGTGGCTGAGAGCGATCTTCTCTCTCTGGTTCTCTCTCTCTCTCTCGGTGGGGGTGAAATCCACTTCCACTTCGATGTCCTCTGTACATGACATTTGAGCCATGTACTGTCAGGGCGCGCACACTACAGCGTGGCTCCATGGGAATTTTATGGGAAATGAGAGCTTTGCAAAAAGCTTATACTAATACGCTGAAATATGTACAATACCACTGAACCTTCCTTGAATTTCCCGGCACACATGCACACACTTTTCATGCTATCCCCACTCAATATTGGATACCGGCGTGCTTTTCCTCTCGCTGAGCGAAGCTAAAGTGTGTGTGAATTTGGGATGAAATCCCTTTTCTAAATATCCTCGGCTAGTATGTATGGCAAGCTGACAGAATAGTAAAACTGATGGCAAATAATACACCTCTTGTGCCCCCATCGCAGCCACATTTGAATGGGCGGCAGCTCATCCTCGGAACTACATAGATATGCAAAGGGGTGAAAATGCTAAACCGCCGCCAACCCCCTGATTTTCCAAAATCAACCCAAACCGAACAATCCCTTTTCCCATGCTTAGAATTCCCAGTCGTTTGTATTTGTGGAAATTGGTTCGGTTTCACGAACTTTTCAATGAGATGCGGACGAATTTAATCCAAATATCGACCCGAAGGGTATTTATACATATACGCTTTGCCATATGCATTATGTAGAGAGTCATAAATACAGAGATTTTCATGCATATGGTGTGCGGAACAATATACCCTGCGGTTTCCAATATCCCTCTCTTTCTCTCGCTCTTTTTATCTGCCGCAACAGAGCTAGGGTTAAAGATACAATATAGACACTCAAATGAACTCTGTATTTGTTTAGATCAAATCCTCCCACTCGATCAGCCGCACACCCGTGGCGATATTATCGATGGATGACTTTTGAATTAGCATCCGAAATACATTGTAAACACTCCAAGCGGTCCGCGCGAGCTTCCGCCACGAAATATTGCTGACAAGTCATGCTGCAAAACACATATTTAATAACACCGCTGAGAGTCAATACCTCTTTCTCATCTTCAACCCCCGAAATCCCATTTGGGAATCCACTCAATATTGGTGACAGAGCTTGAGGGAAAAATATCCAATAAGCTCTCTGAAAAGCTCATTGTAACTGTGCTTGATGGCCAATCACACACTGAATTTGAATTTTTCAATTTATCTCTTCACTGTTACCACATCAATTTTCATGTTTTGATTATAGAGCTAATTAAACGAGTAGGAAAATAATTGGCAAAGAAAAACCACAGGGAAATCAATACTTTGGAGGAGCTTTCAGCAGTCTTTTCTTTATGTCGCAACTTCTTTTCTTCCGTGCATTTAATCAAGAAATGTCTATAAAGATGTTAAATCATTATGTGTGCACTTCATGTTCTGAGCATTCAGAAGAAAATGAAAGAAAACATCCTTTGCAAGGAGATAATTGAACTGTCTGCCATGGGGAAGTCATTTTGTTAAAAGAAGCTCTTAAATTCCTTCGTTTTTTTATATAGTATTATCTATATATCAAATGTTTGCCCTGCAAAGAAAGTACATTACTATAATATTGCATGAGAAATGGTATTATGGCGAGTTGAAAGGAAATGCTAAGAAATATTTATCCTGTAAAGGGATAAATATTTAGATTTGCTCGTCTGCTTTCCTTTGAGGAATGTTTTGTGCACTTGATTGATGCTGACTAAGCATGTACAAATCCTGGATTTTGAAAATTTCTCAGAAACTTTAATTAGACTATTTTCTTTTTATTACTACGGTGGATATTTTATTGAGCATAATATTCTCTGAATCAGTTCAGGTTATTAAATTTCATGTGAAATACTATAAAATTTATTATTATTTCTCCCAACCACTCAAGAATTCCATTAAATGTGCTTGGAGACAAATTGCAGCGTCATATAAGATTTCTTATTGTTCTCAACTTTCAGCTCAAGAATTAACTTTCAAACTTTTGAGTTGAACTTTCCGAATCGCATATTAATACATATTCAATGCAGTTGAAATTTACGGTGAAAATGCACACAATAGATAAACAATGAGCCAAAGTGCAAGCCATGGAGTGATTTATTCGGTTTTGAGAAGTGCACAGAATTCAATTTGGGAGCGAGAATGGAATTGGCGAAAAATGTATGAGGAGCACTTCGACTGTGGAGCGCTTCTCTGGCTTGGCCTTATCAAAAAATCATTAAAATGATATTAGAAGAGGCGCTCGCTCTCATTAGGATGGCCGCAGAGTTTTGGGATAGAGGAAAGAAGAAGAGGCAACAAAGAGTGGAATGAAGGCGATCGATATTTGCAATGAAATCGCGGATTAAATTTCAATTCGGCTCGCAGGGCGTTTGGCAGAGCAAAAAAGAGCCACACCGGAATAGGAAGTTCTACTCAAATATGCAATAAATATAGAGTGGTGCAGAAATTTTAAATAGTGCGGTAGTGAAAATGCCTTGAAAATTGCGCGAAGAGGTTGAAATTGAAAATCTCTCGAGAGATTCCAGAGCCATAATATCTGATATGCATGAGAGGTTGTGGGCGAAAATAGTGTTAGTGTGAAAAAGACATGAAATTGCCAAGGCTCTCAATGGTGCGGGCTTGCTGCTCTTGAATCCAATGAACCCTAACGAATATGAGGATGTGCTGTACTCAAGAACAGAAGTGCGCAAATGATCTGCTCATCAGCGGCTTGTTCGTTGGCTTTATCTCTTGCTCAAATGGATTATGTTTGGAGTCCCTTCATTCAGTGGAGCTACAGTTGCCGCCAATGAAATACATCATGTGGGATCAAGAGGTCTTTGATGTGTAATCGAAAAACTCACAGAGTATTTTATATTATCGCTCTGAATTTATGATCAATTTTATTATCAACACAGAGTCACAAACGGAAAAAGTGGTGTATTTTATCGGCAGCTACAGTGTGTGGAAAGAAATTCTTGCTGTTGTGCGTGAAGTTGAAGCCTTCTTATCAGATCAAATGACAGACCCTGTGCGCAACCCAAGGAACTCAGGGATTTCCAACGAACTCCACCTAAGGAATGATAAAAAATTCACTAGGAATAAGAGGATGAAATTAACTGCGAAATGTGAATTTCACCCCATGTACAAACGCCCATTGATTTCATTTCAAATTGGTCCATTAGGAGCTCGAATGGCTGGGATGAGATCGGGTTTTGGGGTGAAAGCTTATCTCATTTTATAGTAGCGTTTTGGTGCTATTTTATAGTAGTTGGCAGAAAGTTTGCGAAATACTGAATAAAATGAGCATTATGTGCGTAGAGTTCGGTATGAAGTGTGCAATATGCTCATGTAATGTTCTTATCTCTAATGGTAATACGAAAACTCGAACGAAGGGACTTTCATTGCCATCCCATCTCTCTTTAACTACACTCGAACTTAAAGTGTGTGAGTGTGTGGGGAAATGCACATGATGGGGAAGAAAGGAAACATAAAGCTGTTGAGTTTCCAAATCCATCATCACTATTGAGCCACATGATAAAGTTTTATTAATATGCTGGGGTTTCATATTAATGGAGATTGCATTATTTATAGTCACGATGAGAAGAAACTTGTGGTGTTTGATTATTAAATTCTTCATTAAATTCCACAGCTGAAAATTCTACAAGTTTTGTTTTACAACTATTTGGCATTTAACATACTTTGGGCACATTCACAAAACTTATGACTTAGAATTTCATCGTGAGTGGAAATGAGCTTTCACTGAAGCGTCATGCTTTGTGGCGAAAGTGGTCAGTGATAGATTATTTTTTGGCTCACAATCCAAGAAATCCTAAACTCCCTTAAAGTAAATAAGACAAAATCCCTTGCAAAAGTTCTGAGTTACTTTGCACACTTTTCCAGAAGTTTGTTGGAAAAAATATTTTTATCAATAGAAATACGGAATTTCACGAGTTTATGTTCTTCAGAGAAAAGTTTACCTGTATTGATTACATGAAAGTAAGAAGATAACAAAACTTCACTGTTGCAAATAATAAATCTCAAAAACATGGAGATTTAATTAAATTCATCTATGGACAAAGTAGCAAAATGTACCATAAATTGAGAAGATAAGAGAACTCTGGACAAATACTCTGATGAGCTCAAATTGCTGCTAAAGAAGTTTAGAAATGATTCTTATCAAACTTCTCTCTTTTCCACTGTTTAAAAGAAGTCTTGGCGGTAAAATTTCCATTGTTTTTCAATGTTGATCATATTATTAATTTTGAGATGTATTTTTTTCGTATGTTACTTTAGAAGTTAAGCTAAAAATATTAACATGGAATTATTGTTGCAAGTCAGAGTTTTGTCTGTTCTTACGTACTTAGTGTAACTTTAACCCTTTCCTTTCGATATACTCAAAGAATTAGAAGTTACTATAGTTTCGGAATTTGGGGCTCAAGCTTAACACAGATGTTAAGTGGAACGAAGCATTATGCAATAAGTGAAGACTTTTGCTAAAACTCCTGCAACTATGATATAAATCGATAAACTTTCTGTGAAGAAACACCGTTTGGTGTGCATCTGTGCCCCATTTGTGTTGATTAATAAACTTCTCCGTTGGTATATTCAGGAATTAATCATTGACAATTGGGAAGTCTTGAGCTGAAGAAAATGTGGAGCAAATGATATGGTTTCCATTCATTCGCGAAGCAGAAACTTCATATCTCTGCACTTTGTGCTGAGATTGTAACGCCAGAGAAATGGGGTTTTGAGAGGTCGAACTGAAAATAGTTGAGTCCTATTTTAGGGAATGTCTATGCATTTTGTGCAGCATCAAATGATGAGCATGGAAAGACTCGACTATATTGTATTCTATTCTATTCCTTGTGTACGAGCACCCATTCAGTTTGAGGTTACTCAATGTGCTGATTCAACTACATATTTCAAATCCACACAGATTTCTGTGTTGAATATGGTTGAAAATGTCATCATCGAGATTGTACGGATATTCACACAGATAGAGCATTTACTTCGCTTGTGTACAGCCACGAGTAAATGCCGTGCTGAACGTATTGGATTGTACATCAGATGTGGGAGGATCGTGGCCCAGTTGCTCCATTCTATTCACAACTCCACATAATGCTGGAGTACATAAAGAATGCTATACAAATAGAAGGGGATGGATTATTAGTAGAGTTGTTGAGCCAGAGGGTGAGCGACAGTCGAACGAGTGGCTTGCGGTTGACTCTTTGTGAGCGATATTGATATGTTATCTCCTGTGAGTAAGGAAGATTATAAATATCATTTTCTCGAATACGATTACGTCAACATGTCACTGAAAGCCAGGCACAAGAGCACACAGCAGAGCATGTCTTATTCCTCGAGCGCGGCATTGAATTTTGCGGTGAGGCAAAGCGCGATGAGAGCAGGATAAATCGGGACAATGCACTTCAGAAGAGCGATCCTTGGATATAACTAAAAATAGAGGATGGCGGAAGTTTGATTTTTCTCCGGAACCCATGATTCTTGGTATTACCTCGGGAAAACTTAATTTTTCCTCTTCTTTCATCAAATTTCCCCCTTCTCTGCGGCATTTTTTGCTGCGAATCGAATAATCAATTGATACCTGTCTCGTCAAAGGACACATTTTCCACTCCATTGCCTGTGAAATAAGAACTGTATTTAACTTTCAGCTTCTCCTGATCGCAAACTCGTAGCTTCTTTAATTATTCAACCATCCACTTTGCGTTGGGTGAAATTTTATTGGCAAGAATTAGTCCAGGAAATGGTGAAGGAGAAATTAGATAGAGAGTTATGATGGAAAACTTAAAATTAGTCCGCTGTGCAGCATAAATTAAAAGTTTTCGTTGCATGAAATATTCAAAAACAAGTTCATTATTTGCAACATTGAGTGCAATAAAAATTAACTCGTGCAGAAGGAATGCAGATTATGTTCATATGGTTAGCATTTTGTTTTTGAAGCTATTTGGTTTTAGTTGTACTGTCAGGAACAGTCATATTATTTTACGGTGTTTATTAGGTTTTTGTTTGAATCTCGAATAATGCAGTTCAAGTATGCGAGTGGAATTTTAATGAGGCTTCTGGTTTCACAGTTACCAAACTACTACATATGTTTAGTTTATCGCATAACCTATGAGACTGTTCCAATTTCTGCTCTTGTCACTTTTGCATCCAGAATGTAAAAGTTCATAGGAAAAGTTTCCTTTGGCTCGCAGTGAATTTATGTGCAGAAAATCACAGATGTACTCGCGATGTCAATTTCCTTGGTGCGGATAACTCGCGAGGGGATGACATTGTGAGGATGAGGGAATATAAATTAATTTATGCAAATATCGCTAAAGCTATGCGGAAAATGTTGAGGAGCGCGGGTGAGGGTGAAAAATGGATATTCTCCCGTTTAGATATAATGAAATTTCGGAGCGTCAGTGTGAAATGCTCTGACAATTGCGAGATAATTAAAAATGAGAAAAATGACACAACATGCAAGACGAAGTTGTATGAAATCTCCTCTTATTTATTTTTTTCCTTCTCCTCGCTGAAATTCCATTGCCGCTTGTCGCACATTTTGAAGGGAAAAATGTGCTAAATTGTCAACATTTGTATAGCAAGAATATCCATTAAGTCAAAGTCGCACAGATGCTTAGCATTAATTTAATAGAGCCTTTTCCGCATATTCAAGCCCTGAGCGAGTGGATTTATTTAATTTTACCCCCGGACCCACAGTTACACTCTAAATACCAATTACTTCCGATTGCTGTGGAATGTATAGTGGAGGACGTATAGTGTGTGAGGATGTATGTAAACATTGAATTACATCCTTACGCTCTCCTTCAGCCACCGTAATTATGCTGTCTTTCAGTCGGAAGGAAAATAACCCACTTGTTTGGATACACCCGCCTCAATTCACTGCACGAGAGATTGTGCATTTATCTCTCGGATGCTCATTTCGAGGGATTTTTCTACTCCAAGTCCGCCCGAGTTGACATTTTAATGAATTATATACAGTGAGCCTGGCTATCAGAGGCACCGCTCCTTATCGCCAAAGGAAATATCTCCCCCTTTTTTTCCTTCATTGCCTCACAAAATGTTTACTGATGATATCTTTATGGCGCAGGGGGATAATGTATACCTTTTGGCATCCTTCTGACTCCTCTAAATGCTATCAGATCCGAGAGTGAACCCGAAGTGTGAGCCTCTTCCGCCCTTCGACAGGCTCAACACCCCAAAAGAGCACCCCGTCATCGCGTCACACAACGTGACAGGAAGCGAATGTATTTATTTTATGTATTTCAGCACCACATGGGCGCGAAAGATGAAGCACTCGCGGTGGGTGGCAAAAGTGGGGGTGGAAAATCTTTTCACCATATTTTCATTCTATTATGTTCGCGCGCTGATAGAGATGTCAAATGGCAGCGAGATGCGTCTCTCGGTGGGGTGAAAAGTTCAAAAATTATTGCGTGTCATATTACAAACAATATATATTGTGGATGTGCATGAATTTTCCGTCTCACGCTTCGTGCTCTTCCCATCGCAAGATGTCTCAATTTCCAATTCACACTGATAACGGGAGATAATTTTAATAATATTCTCAGACATACTCCTTTTTTGTGCTCACTTAGTACCTTTTGTTCGCGTTTTTCCTCTTCGTCGCCACGATAAATTCTTTCTCTCGTTTGAATTTTTAATTGGTGCCATTTATTTTCGGAGTCACGTTTCGGGTCAACAATTTAATACAATTTATTGTTTGGGAATCGATTCCGAAACACACAGTGCATGTCACAGAGCGCCTTCTCAGGGGTGTTTATCGTGGACTGTGAGTGTGAGAAATTGGATATAAAACGCCGAAGGTGGTAGAATGGAGGGATGTACGATTCTTCGGAGCGTAAGCCGTCGCGGCGATAGATGGGGACTTGCAGAGAATTTATGGGGAATCTCAATATGAGGGATTCTAAAGCTCAAGAAGTCATACATGACCATAATTTCGAAGTATTGTTGACTGTTATTAATGATCGGATGATTTGAAGTTTCTTTTAGACTCAAAACAGTACAAGAAGCAAGTTTGATATTATCAAACAAATTAAACAATTGGAAATCAATCTAAAACAGTAGCAAAAATAAGAAGATAAATGAAGGAAACACTTTTTGATAAGTCTAAAGAGAAATGTGAGAGGAAAGTATGAGAAATAAAGCTTACAATTAATGAAATATTAATAAATAGTAGCTATTAAGGCTGTTTGTGAGTCGCGTCGGCTCACAATCTTCCAGGTGTATATTTTTGGAGGAGGATGAAAAAGTTGAACACAGAACCACTTTTGGTGCCAAGTTGAGAGGGATCTGAATTATACGCTCCTCAATACTTCCAAGAAATACACAATTGAAAGGGGTTCCAGGCGCTTCCATCGGAGTTTGGGTGGCTTTATTGTGTTACAAGTGGAAATATCGGGTACGTGTGAATCTCCAGTGAGAAGATGGGCGTTCAACAATTCTCACATGATGGAAAAATACTTCCTACTCCTGGAGTCCATTTTTCCCACCACCCCAACCCTCTGCGCCAGACGCCAAATCGAAGATTTGAACCGTGGGATGGGCGGCATCATAAACCTCTCTTGAGTACACGTCAGATCGCATTTCGCATTTTGCCCGCACCGCTCAAATTGATTCAAGAGTGGCGGGCTCTCGATGGTGTGAGGCGGTGTGACACTGATGATGGAGGAGGAGAGACTGATGTAAGTAAAAATAGAATAACATTTACTACCATCTCTCGCGGGATGGGGTGGAATTGTTGTTTAAAAGGCGATAGAGAGAGAGAGAAGGCGAGAGTGTTAAGTAAAGAGTGCCAGGGGAGGCTCTTCTCACCCGAAAAAGCTCTCAATGAAATCCTCTTGCTTTTTTGCGCTCTCCCTCGGCCACATGGGGGCCGTGGGCCCGAGGGAGAGCGCACGTGCAAGCGGAAGAGGGACAGATGGCGGCGTGCGCGGTGGAGGCGACGGGTGGTGCCGTGGGGACGCCTGGTGCTCGAGTGCAAGAGATACGTTCTCTGAGGTCGGTGTCATAGCACAGCTCTGGTGGCTGTCGATGACGTTTGCGGAGGAGCTCTCTCGAGAGCGAGAACGCCGTCAGGAGTGTCGCGAACACTCCAACAACCTGCCAAGGGGTGGTTTGAGAGTGAAAAGCGCGCAGTGGAGGGGATCGCTTTCTGATATGGGGTTTTAAACAATAAAATGAGGGTTTTCCGTTCTTTGTGCTCTCGCGGGGAAACTCTCACGTACACGGAAATCCACACACAGCACAGAGCTGTCTTCTGGGGTGTATTTGCACACAGAAAAATCACATGTGGCGGATTTGTTGGTCACACACTTGGGAAAAGTTTGATTGCACCTACTTGTCGTCTTCATATGCTAATAAGCTGATGTGTGGCTTTATTTAAATTGTATGCAACTGCCATGTGGTTATATAACAACCACAAGTATTATCCTATTAGAGTCTTGCTCAATTAAGTCGGATCCGAAGACTGTGAATGCCACTTTGCACTGACAGATTAATCAATGAAAGTGCTTCTTCCATTGTGTTGGTCGAGTGCAATGAAGGATCTATATTTTATAAGAAATTTCCAGCTTGTCTGATGCACTATTAAGAGATTGATATTAACTCTTGCGGCTTGTGGTAATTAGATGCTGAGCACAGAGGCTCAAATCATATTGCTCATCAACTGGTTTTGATTGAGTCTGGAACAAAGGATATCTCAGAGCAAAGCATTGAGAATTTAGCTGAACAGACAGAGGTGCTCAGTTTCTGCGAGCAATAATTCTGGTTCTAATTGCTTTCTAATCATCTTGAGCTTGCTGCAAAATTTTATCAAAGTTACTATAATTCACAATACAACAGAATCATATTGGGTCACGATAAATTTTGCTAGTTATACTAGACAATTCATGGAAATTTGAGATTATTTTTCAAATTAAATTTAAAGCCGCAGCGTTTCTTAAGCTGAGCTCAGCAGGTGCCTATTTATGTTGCTCTTGCAAACTAATCTTTTTCCTCAGTGCAGGAGAAGCTCTTCTTTCTTGCACTTGTACATAGGAGAATTATCCCCACGGC